GATAGGAAATAGGGTAGGGAGTGGGGGATACACAACGTGCACTAGCACAGGTAGTGGGACAGGAGATGGGATGAGGATAGGGGATAGGGACGGGGGACAGGATAGGGAGTGGGGGGCATACACAACATGCTGTTCAAAGGTACCAGATGGGAATGAGATGGAGACAGGGGAAAGGGGATACAGAACGTGCTGATCACCGGTTCTTGCATGAAGGTGGGGATAGGGATAGGGAATGGGGATGGGGGATGCACAATGTGTTGATCATCGATACAGGATATAAGGAAGTGGGGATAGAGATAGGGGAATGGGATGGGGTGGGATCAAGGAATAGGGATAGGGAACACACAGTGTGTTGATCACTGGTAGGATGGAGAGGGGAATGCAGGATAGGGGATAGGGGAACGGGGATAAAGGATACACAACCTGCTAATCACAGGTACCAGATAGGGGATGTGCAATGGGAATGGGCTTACTGGGTGGGGATAAGGCATGGAATGGGAATGGGGATAGGTGGGGTCTCAGCCCTGCTCTAGCTCAGGGTGATTTGGATCTCACATCCCTCAGAACTGATTTGGGGTCTCAGGCCCCTCAGAGGTGACCTGGGTGTTGGTCCCTGAAGAGCTGATTTGGGATCTCAGGTCCCATCTAGGGCTGGTTTGGAGTCTGAGGTCCCAAGCCCATCACAGCCCAATCCCAGCCTGGGGTGGTTTGGTGTGTGGGGTCACAGCTCAGTGTCATTGGGGGGGTGGGGCCCATCTAGGGCTGATTGGGGCAGTGGGGAACCAGCCCAGGGTGGGTCGTTGGGGGTGTGGGGCCCATCTAGGGCTGACTGGGGCAGGGGGGAACCAGCCCAGGGTGGTTTGGGGTCTCAGTTCCTTAGAGGTGATTTGGGTCTCAGGTCCCTGCTGAGGTCCTTCACACCTCCATGAGAACTTTGGGCCTCTCCCTGTCAGAGGCTTTAGGGTAAATCAATGTTTGCCTCACAGCGTCTGTGACATTTCTGCACAAAGGATCAGTTTTCTCCCTGTTTTCCTCTTTTCCCAGTACACTCCAGGCTTTGCCCTTGGCTATTTTCCCTTGTCCTGCAGCTTCTTGCCCCTTTTCCTCTCCTGACCTTGCAGCACTGAGTGGCCAAAGGCTCCATGTGCCTGCTGGGAGGGTGTTTTTAGGCGCCTTCAAGCTCTTCTCTCACCCTTCCCTCTGGATTTTTCTCCAGGCACTCCAGGAGTTGGGAAAACGACACTGGGAAAGGAACTGGCATCCAGGACTGGAATGGTCTACATCAGCGGGGGGGGCTTGGCCAAAGAAGGTGATGTGAGGCAGAGGAGGCACCAGAGCTCCATGCAGCACCTGTTGTGGTCTGTGGTGCACATCACTTGCACTGAGAGCACCTGCACCTGCGCCTGAGTGAGTTGGGAATGTCCAGCCTGGAGGAGAGAAGCTCCAAGGAGACCTTGAGCCCCTTCCAGTGCATCCAAGGGCTCCGAGAGAGCTGCAGAGGGACTCAGGCTCAGATCCAGGACATGGACATGGAGAAGAGGCTCCAGGGACACCCTTGAGCCCTTTCCAGTGCCCAGTGGAGCTCCAAGAGAGCTGCAGAGGCACTTCGGAGAGGGCGTGGAGCGATGGGACAAGGGGGAAGGGGTTTTCAGTCCCAGTGGAGCTCCAAGAGAGCTGCAGAGGCACTTCGGAGAGGGCGTGGAGTGATGGGACAAGGGGGAATGGCTTCCCACTGAAAAGCTGGAGATTAAGATGGATATTGGGAAGGAATTGTTCCCTGTGAGGGTGGAGAGGCCCTGGAACAGATTTCCCAGAGCAGCTGTGTCTGCCCCATCCCTGGGAGTGTTCCAGGCCAGGTTGGAGCACCCTGGGCTAGTGGAAGGTATCCCTGCCCATGGCAGGGGGTGGACTTAAATGCTCTCTGAAGTTCCTTCAACCCAAACTATTCTGATTCCATAGATTAAATGGAAAACCAGTTCATTCCCGTTAACAGGAGTAAATATTTAACATCACTCTTGATGCTCAGTAAGAAGTAACAAACTTTTCCGTGATGGGTCTGTAAACAGAGTGTTCCCTGCCCTGAGCTCTGCCTGTAACCTCCTGAAATAAACCCAGTTAGAGTAACCGCTGTTCATTAACCAGTGCTGATTACCTGTGCTGCAGGAGAGCTCTACGAAGGCTTCGACGAGGAGTACGAGTGCCCGATCCTGGATGAGGACAGGGTGAGTCCGTGCCCGAGCGCGCAGGCCGGGGCCCTGGCGCAGGTGGGCTCGGTCCGAGCTGTGTGTGCTCCGCAGGTGGTCGATGAGCTGGAGGACAGGATGGGCGAGGGAGGAGTCATTGTGGACTACCATGGCTGCGACTTCTTCCCCGAGCGCTGGTTCCACATCGTGTTCGTGCTCCGCACGGACAACTCCTTCCTCTACGACAGGCTGGAGAGCAGGTGGGTCAAGGCAGCCAGGGAGGAGCAGCCTGCTCTTGTGTGGCCTCACTGGAGTCTTTCCCATGCTGTGTGAGACTTTCCTGGGGCGTAAATCACTGACTCTCTGCAGAAAAA